CCTACCAAAAATGTTTTAAAAGAATTGTGTCACTAAGTCTCGATAAAATTTCACTTTAGCACAACAAAAAAAAGAAATATCTTTAAGAATTAATTAATTTTTTTCTCTTATTTTAAAACCTAGAATATCTTTTTTTAAGACTAGAACAAACAATAAAATATCACCTTTTTGTACAAGTATGTCTTGTATTGATAATTCTCTAATAAACTTCAAAAAGATTGTGTTTATATTAAATAGACACTAATTAGACAATTAATTTTCAAAAAAAAAATTCTCTAATGTTAACAGTTTAATGATGAATATTCTAAAGTATTATAGAAATAACAAATACAATAAGTAATGCAATAAATGCACTATAATAAAATTAACAAAATAAGTTATAGATTTATTAGACAGAATATTTAATAAAAAACAGATAGTGAAATAAATGAAGCTATTTTTAGTTTCTATTATTAAATTAGTTAAGGTTTTTTGAAGAAGAAAATTTAAATGAATTTTATGACTACCGCATTGGTAATACTATCTGAATAAAAAGAATTTAAAACCATGATTTAATTTATCAGTTAATTGATAAAAGAATAAAACAAAGTACCTTTATGTTATTGGGAATCACTTAAAGAAAAAAAAACGAATAGAATTATGTTCTAATCTATTCATAGAGAAACTTCTGTTAAATGTATTTTTGCTTTTTGAATGGAAATTTGTTTTTAACAGGGAGAAGAAACAAAAAGTTAAAGTGAATTGAATTTCTCAAACCTTCTACATAAAATAAACATTAAAAAGTAACAATGCTAGTTCATTAATAAAATCATTCTATCTCTCATTTTGATGAACGTGCCTCAATTCTCTTCTCCATTCTTCTCTCCTTGTTACACTACCTCAACATATCCATTGAATGTAGACTCAAAACAATCTTCATGTAATTTCTTTTCAGTACCAACCCAAGTTTGCTCTACTCTCCAAACTAATTGTCTGTGTCATCAAGAACAAGAAACGTTTAGTGGTTCTATGAACCAAATTAGTGAAACTCCAATGGAAGAAGATTACTCTTTTAATGATGAAGTTTTTGATTTGGAAGATTGTGATGAATTTACTGAAGACACTTCAGACTCAGTAGATGCGCTTGCTTCTCAATTACTTGAAACAATTGAAAATATTAAAAGACAGTCTCAAGAAACAAATAAAATACTCCAAAACATTATGAACATGAATAAACCAAAATAAATAGCCACTTTCGTTTTATTAAATACACTAACATAAACCTTGTATTATTTCATTTTTCATATTATAATTCAAGGGTATTTCTTTTCTATTTGTTAGTTTTTTAGATTATAAATATAATATAATGTTTTATGTAATAAATAACAAAAATGAATATGACAAATAAAAGAAATTCATAATTATTGGTTATCAAGCGATTGCCTTGGATTTCTTCTTGCAAAGAAAGCCCTTCGTTGTGGAGTGCTGCTTGAGGGTTGTGGAACTCCTTGAACAACAGAGTTTGTTGATGAGTGTAATGAGCCATGTGAAACAGAATTATGTAATGGAGCAGGAGATTCATTTTGAGTAACAGACTCAAGTTCTTGTGAAGTTCCAATAGGAGTTCTTGGAATGAATGAAGATCTTCTTTTGAAAGAAGAATTATGATCAGCAAATGTTCTTCGAGTAACAGGAGTATGAGATTGAGTTGGTTCAGTTCCAGAAGATTGGCTTAAAAAATTTTGAGGATTTGAAGAAATTGGTTTTTGACCCCATAAAGAAACTTTTCCTGTTTGTTGAGTTGGAGATGATTTTGTATTTAAAATAATAGACTGGGAAGAACCATTAATAGATGGAGAAGCAACTTTTGGTGGTGTTACGTCTTTAGACTCTTCATCCATGGCACACCTATTAAATGCTTTAATATCATTGAAATTTAATGACACACCAAAACGAGCAGTTGCAGGTTGAGTTGAACTTTGAGAATTAGTAATGTGAGAAGGTGTTTGATTTCCTTGAGGGGTAGATGTAGGTTCTTCAATTTTTTTAGAAGTACTTAATACTTCTTGTAGGTTCATTGAATGAGGTCTTTCATTTAATGACTCTGCCACTGGCTTTCTTCTAAATGTTCCTAAAGTCACACGAGTACTTGGAGAAGCTGTTTTATTTGGTACAGAGGCTGGGCTTGATCCTTCACTTTCTGAAACTTTTTTAGTAGGTTGAATATTATCGTGTGTTCCAGTGACATGAGTTAAGCCAGGAGAATTTGTTTTTGATGAAAATATTTTTGGACTTTTTGTTCTATTAAAGAAACAAGGAGATTTAGTAGCAGATTTTTTAACAGGTGTTAACACCTCAAATACACCATTATTTTTGAAGTCAACTGGATTAGTAGATTGAAGATAATTCTTAGAGAATAATGAGTGAGCTGCGACACATGTATATTTTGTATCTAAGAATGCTGCAATTGATAAAAGAATATTTTTACGTTCTTCAAAAATAGTTTTGGGGATTACAGAATTTGAAGAATGACTTAATAATACAGAAGATATAAAAGAAGGAAGAGTTTCAAAAGGAATTAATTGGGATTCTAAAGCAATTCCAGTTTTTTGATTTAGTTGAACACTAAATAACTCTGAAGTAGTTGGACTAATAATAAATTGTAATTCTGCATCGTAATGAGATAATTTATCAGGAAGCCCCCAAATAATTATTGCTTTATAATTAGTATTTGGAAGAATATTATTTAAGACATCTGCTTGGTAATTAACTTTAAAACCATTATCTTCTTTAATGAGCAAGTTTTTCTTTTCTTTTTCATTTTGAATTAATTGTAATTCACCAAGATTATCAATGAATGAAATATATTGGTCTGTTATATGATCTGATTTAATTAATACTTCATATTGACTAATAGGAGAAATCTCATCAAGTTGTTTTAATTCATTAAACAAGTCATCACTAACAACAAGTTCTTCTACAGGACTATTAGTTAAATGGTTAAAATTTAATAATGTAGATAATAGCCTTTGAAGGAAGAACTCATTAAATACTGTACATTTATAACTCTTCCAATTCTTTTTAGAAATAATAATTGGATCATGTAATATACTATTTTTCATTGTCTTACTATTTGTTTCTTCTTGTTTTTTAACAATATTCATAAGCTCATTAACATTAATAAAATCAGTTTTTTCAGTCCATGAACTTTTTGTAACTTCAATTTCTTTATAACCATTTTCAATACTTGGACATGAATAATCAATTCTTGTCCATCGTATTTCTTCATCATGCATTTTCATTGTAAAAACTTGTTTTCCATATCGAGTACGAATAATACAAAGAAGAGTATTTTCAATCCAAGGTAATTCTATTATAGAAAATATTGCTTGTTCAAATACATAATAACAATGAATAGAATTTTCCCAATCGAATGATTTATTTATTAATTCTTTCTTTAAAATTAGTTCATTAACATCTTGATTATTTTCTATTGAAGGAAGATAAGTATTAATAAAAGAGTTATATAATTGAATATCATATTTAAGTGATGAAAGTACATTATCATTTTCAATAATTTTATTCATTTTATCTATTAAATTTATTGTAAATAATAATTCAGCTGGTTTCATAAAGGAATAACAATAAGTAAAATAACACGAATATATATTAAGTAATGGATATATTGATTGTAAATTATCAGTTTTATAACTAATATATTGTTGTATTAATAAGAAAATATCTTTTACTGATTCTTTGTAAAAAGAATATCGATACATTAAAATAATTCTAAATAATTCAAGAAGTGACTCTAAATTTCCAGATGAAATAGAAGAGAACCATTCATGATAATTAGAACTTAATAATGGAATAAAATTGGATAAAATAATGTCTGTATTTATTCCTTTATTTCTTTTATTATTTATTAATGAAATTATACCTCTTCCTATTATAATAAATACTTCTTTTGTTTTAATTGGATCAATTTTAAGAAATTCAAAACAAATATTTAATACTGAAGTAATAAAAGGTTGTTCAGAACTTATTTTTGATAATGAAGAAAGCATTTGATCTCTTTGTTCAGTAAACATTAATTGAATTTTTTGTAATAGTTTAATAGAAATTGGTCTAATTTCTTCTGTTGTTCCTTTAGGTTCTTTAGATATTTTAGTAATAGCATAAATAATATCATTAAAAATAATACTACTAGTTGAAGGTATTGATTCAACAATTTTATAAGTTTCTGATATAGCATTAGTAATAACAATAATATTTGAAGAAGTAAGGCATTTTGATAATGAATAATAAAGTTTATAATAAAATGTTTTATCAAATTGAGTAATAGAATACTTAGAAATATAAGTCTTAACTAATAACATTAATGCCAAATTAATTGATTTACTAAATAAACGATGATCTTTATATATTATTGTTTGGTATAATATGTCACTAAAGATTCTATATATATCATTTCCTGTAAGACTTGTCCCAATAAGAATATCAATTAAAATACCAATTGCTTGAATTAAATTATAATGAACATCTGCTTTTTGAATATTACAAATATTACCTATAAGATGCATAAATTTCATATAAAATAAAAGAAGATATTTTGATGTCATTGAACATTTAATTCCAAATGAACTGTATGTTAATGTTATATCAAATGATTCATTATTTTCTTTTGTTAATATTTTAATTAAATGATTTTCAAGAGTTACCATTACATCTTTCCAAGAACTAACAACTGATTGATAAATAATCCATTTACCATAACAATTAGTTAAAACCTTCCATAATTCAATTTCAGTTGGTTGATAACATATCCAAATTTGATTAAAAAATCTTATTAATTCTGTTATAACTGTGTAATTCTGAGAATTAAATACATCATCCATTACTGCAACCATCATTCTAACAAATGTATTTTCAATTGAACTTGAACGAATTAATTCATATAAATTTTGATAAATAGAAATAACTCTTTTACATAATACTTCATATGATTTTTGTTCTTGATTTGATGGCTTATGAGCAAATACAAAAGTTAATTGTAAAATAATTTTTTCAATATAAAAATTGTAATTGTCTAAAATTGCTTGTGGAATTTGTTCATGTTTTATAAACCAAAGTCTATAATTTATTTTATTATTTATTCTCTTTTAATATATCTTCTTAAATTATACCATAACAAACTCATAAAGATCAATACATTGACTCATTAAATTATGATTGGTGAGATCCATTTTAAATCCCGCACCAATAACTTCCATTATCCATGAACAATGAGAAGATGATTGACAATGAGTTTTGATATCCAGATTACTTTCAAATAATTGTTTACAAAGTAATGAAACAAAACCAGACTGTATTGTTTTATCAAATGTATTTAAAACATCTGTATCACTTTCTGGATGTAATAAGTTTAAAGAAGTTGCCGTTTTAGTAAACATGTGACTGTCTTTTTATATTTCAAAGATTTTTTTCTAAACGCTTATTCGTATTATAATTTTTTTTTGTTATTTTTTTTTAGAAAACATTAGTATTTTTATTCTACCCATTACTTCTTTTTTTCCTCGTATGAATTTATAATTTTTCATCTTTTTTTAATTATTTTACAAATATATTATTATTTTATCATTTAATCTTGAATTTAAGATATTCTAAAAATACATTTAAACTTAATGGTTATTACATCATTTATTTATTCATTTTAATAATAATGAACTGGTAATAAATAAATTTTGATATTATTATTTCTTAAACTTTTTAAATTTTTTGAATAACAAAAAAAAAAATAAAATTGTTTTAAAAAACACAAAAAAGGATGATGTTATTTAATTTCTTTATTAACTATTTCATCAACCACTTTGTCGACATTGTCCAATGGATTTAAAAATGACCTTACTCTAACTTCTAAATGAGTACTACGAATAAGCTCATCACGAGCGTGTTTAGGGATAGATAAAACAATTTTTCTTAATCGATTCATTTCACGTTCTTTTTGTAATTTAGCAGATATCAAGTCACCATTAGCTCGTGCCATTTGTTTTTTTATCCCTTTAATTGCACGTTTAGAAATAGCGTAACGAATTTGTTGTTTCAAAAAAGCAATCCTATCTTCTGTGATTCTTTCAATGTCTTCAATTTCTCGAATTCTTGCATCTAACTTAACAAGTTTATCTTCAATTAAGAACCTTTCGTCCAACATATTTCTGTACATTTCATTTGTAAGACATTTACTATGACATATCAACACAAAGAGGCACACTATTAACAACTTCATAATATAATGAACTTAAATTATTTTTTTTTTAAGTTTTTTTTTATTTT